CTTAATCACATTTGAGGATGAGACAAGGCCAAGAGAAAAAAAAAGAATCAGGGTCCAGAAAAGGTCTTGACAAGTTTCAGGGATGAGCAAAAGTTTCAGAGACAAAATGTAAAATCCTTACTTATGTTAAAAAAAAAATTCAGCAGAACAAATAAAAGATAAAGGAGGGCTAGCCTTCAGGAGACAGGATATTCTTTAAGACAGAGGTCTGGCAAACTATGGGGGAGGGATTAAATCTCATCTGCCACCTATTTTTGTACAGCCCATGTGCTAAGAATAGTTTTTATGTTTTTAAATACAGTAAAATACAGTTTGGAAAAAAGAGACCGTTCTTACACAAGTCATACAAAAACACGTGGTGGGCTGTATTTATTTGGCCTTAGGCCATAGTTTACAGACCTTTGCTCTAAGATAGCAACAGTTCCCTGTCTGAAGGTACAGATGTAACCGGCTTGAGTAGAACCTATACCCTTGAGAGCATTGCAATGATGGTAATTATGATGATAGTATACTTTTCTGTAGCAGCAGTTCATGTGAAAAAAGATAAAAGGTTTTGAATGAGTTATCAGTGTTTAATTAGACTACATTAAGAGAAGTATGGTGTCTAGAATGGGGTGGAAAACATAGCCTAGTTAGTTGAAGTGCTAGATTTGGAGTAGGAAGATCTGGATTCAAATTAGGCCTGCGATACTTAATAGCTGTGTTGTTACTCAGTAGTGCTGGACTGTTCTTGACCCCATGTGGGGTTTTCTTTGCAAAGACACTGAAGTGGTTTGCTATTTCCTTCGCCAGCTCATTTTACAGGGGGTGAAACTGAAGCAAATAGGGTTAAGTGGCTTGCCTGGGAGTCACACAGCTAGGAAATATCTGAGGTCACATTTGAATTTAGGTCTTCCTGACTCCAGACCCAGTGTTGTCCAGGAATGCAGGACTGGTTTGATATTAGGAAAACTATCAGCTTAATTGATTGTATCAACAACAAAACTAACAGAAACCACACGATCATCTCAATAGAGTCAGAAAAAGCCTTTGACAAAATACACCACCCATTCCTATTAAAAACACTAGAGAGCGTAGGAATAAATGGAGTCTTCCTTAAAATAATAAGGCGCATCTACCTAAAACCTTAAGCAGACATCATATGTAATGGGGCTAAAGTAGAAGTATTTCCAGTAAGATCAGGGGTGAAACAAGGATGTCCATTATCACTGCTGCTATTCAATATGGTACTGGAAACGTTAGCATTAGCAATAAGAGAAGAAAAAGAAATTGAAGGTATCAGACCCAGTGTTGTCTAATGTGCTATTTCTATGCCTCAACAGCATAGTGTGCCCCTGGGCAAGTCACTCTTTGAGGCTCAGTTTCCCCTTATGTAAACTGAAGGGGTTGAACCAGATGGCCTCTCAGGGCTCTTTCCATCTCTGTATCTATGTTCTCTCTGATCTGTGAGCTAACTGTATGCTATACTGTCTAGACTACTTTTTTTCTTGTTCTGCTTAGTTTTACACTATAGTTTAAGGAGTACAGTGGGAAATCGGAGTGAGTCTAGAGGAGATAACTTGAAACTGCGTAGTGAGGAAACTGAGATTGTTAGCCTGGAAAAGCCTTGTGGACACATAATTCATGCACCCTGGGAATGGCAGAGCTATAGAAGCTACATTCTGCAATAGAAGCCATCATCACCCTTTTCATGTCAGGTACAGGAATCTCGCACATGGTCCCAAAGAAGAAATAACCACTCTCCAGGGAAGTTCAATATGGTTTATTCTTTGTAGATCTAAAGGGCAGAACCAGGACGAGTGGGAGTTCCAAAGAGGCAGATTTTGGTTCAGGACAAAGAAGAACTTTGTAACAATATTAGCAATTAAAAAATGGAATGAGCTACCTATGGTGATTTTTTTTCTTTAAACAAGAAGCTGGATAACTGTCAGAGTTATAAAGAAGATAATTATTCCATGTCTTGTAATATCCATTCCACCACTCAACCTGGGTTTTTATTCATCTAGTCTCTCCAGTGCATCCTTTCCCCACCTGCCAAAATAACCTTCTGGTAGCTTATATCTGATCTTGTCATTTTGCTTTTTAAAAAATGGTTCCTCACTGCCTATGGGATTTTTTTAAAAAATGCCTTTGCTTGACATTTAAAACCTACCACAATCAGGTTCCCACCTACCTAAGAGCAGTCTTACTTCATACTATTCTCCCTCACGAACTCTCTGTTCCTGCCAAACTGGATTGCTGGCTATTTGCCAGAGCTGGCATTCCAATGGGCATCTTCATACACTCATATAAGCTGTACCCCCATCCCACCCCCATGTACCTGGAATGCCTTCTTTCTTCATGTCCGCCATTAAAAATATTTGCCATTTAGGGCAGGTAGGTGGTGCAGTGGACAGAGCACTGGCTTTGGAGTAAGGAGGACCTGAGTTCAAATGCGACCTCAGACACATCACACTCACTTGCTGTGTGACTCTGGGCAAGTCACTTAACCCCAATTGCTTCACAAAAAAAAAGAAAGAAGGAGCGAGAGAGAGAGAGAGAGAAAGAAAAGAATATTTGCCTTCCTTCAAAGGTCAAATGCTGGTTCTTCTTTTCAGGACCTTCACTGATTTCTCCAGTTGTTAATGCTGTCTCCTTCCTTAATTTTCCTGGGACTATATTTATTTGCATATATTCTGAATTCCCACCCACTCCCAAATAGAATTCAGTTCCTCGAGGACTTCAGTTCTCTCCTACCAGTCTTTGTGTCTCTAACACACCTAGCACTGTGCCTCAGCATTACTGGTGTTTGAAATAATGCTTCTTGAATTGAATTGCAGTCACTTAAGTAATTAGGGCTGTTTATCTCTGTACCAAAAGTCTAGAGACTACTAGTTTAAAATGCTAGAAAGCATATTAAAAATTCTCTTATTCTGCTTTTTATAATTCTCTCCTTTTTGCTCTCAGTTGCTCTGACTGCTGTCAGCATGCTCATCTGTTGTCTTAGAACTCACCAACACAGTAGATAGAGTGCTGGGCCTCAGAATTCAAATCTGGCCCCAGACACTTAACCTCTGTCTGCCTCTGTTTCCTCACCTGTGCAATGGGAATATTAATAATAGTACCTGAATCTCCCAGCATTGTTGTGAGGATCAAATGAAATCGTATTTGTAAAGTTCTTAGCATAGTGCTTGGCCCATGTTGTTCATTTGTTTCAGTCATGTCTGACTCTTCATGACCCCATTTGGAGTTTTCTTGGCAAAGATACTGGGAGTGATTTGCCATTTCATTGTCTAGCTTATTTGATAGATGAGGAAACTGAGGCAAACAGGATTAAGTGACTTGCCCAGGGTCACACAGCTAGGACGTATCTGAGGCTGGATTGGAACTCAGGTCTTCCTGACTCCAGGAAAGGTGCTTGGAAAGAGCACTTCTCTGACCCATAGTAGGTACTTAATAAATGCTTGTTTCCTTCCCTGACCCTTTATGTCAGATTTGTCTGCGAATTTCTGACTCCCTTATAGAGTAAAGCGTGTATATGTGTGTGTTTGTATATACATACACACAACACACTTATTGCTGTGTATCTTCTGAGGGGATACAAGGCACTAAAAATGGGAGAAACAGTAAATGTATTATAGATAACGGATTCATGATTATGGACTTTAAAATCAGGTTATGTATAGACTATGTTAGTAATAGTCATAGTGTGGTTCATCATTTCAAAACTCCTAACTTTTTTTTTTTTTTTGCTTGTCAGGAACCTTTTTGAGTAACAGATGGTGTGACTGGTCCTCACCTGTGTTATTTTCTTTGGCAAATAGGACTCTAACTTTGAATAACAGCATCCAAAGAGTGTGTGTGGTGGGGGAGGTAGGGAGTAAGGAACAGGACACCCTATTTTCTTTCTTTTTTTAAAGAATAAGTTTAATATTTAATATTTAAAATTCCAATATGCATTTCAGTAGAAACTAAGTTATTAGTGCTAATCTGTGAATAGGACACAAAGGAGAGAACTAACAGATAATACCATGCTTTGCAAACCTTAAAAGATGATATAAATGCTAGTTATTAGGTATTACTTTATGGAAACTTTTATTTGAACAGCTATAGGTGTAATTTTGGGGTAGGCACTGTCCTAAGAGCTGGGTCCCAGCTCTCAAAGAGCTCATGGTCTAATGGAAGAGACAGCGTGAAAACAGCTATGTATACACACACATGTAGACAGAATAAATTGAAGACGATTAGTAGGGGGAAGATGCTAGCATTAAGAGGGGTCCAGAAAGGCTATATAGAAGGTGGGTTTTTAGCTGGGACTTGAAGGAAGCCAGGAAAGGTGGAGATGAGAAGGGAGAACATTCCAGGCATGGGGAGAACAGCCAGTAAAAAAAATCCCACTTGAAACCATTTTATCTGGAAAAGAAAACTATATTGAAAGTAAAAATTTATCACTGAATCTTGTTTAAAAAAAAAAAAGATCTTAGGCAAGGCAAAGGCTGTTTAAACCTTAGTCTTTCCACGTGAAACACAGGTCTCAATTCGATTTTTTATCTTTCCCAATTCCCAGAAATATAGAGGCGTCATGAATTTTCATTTGATACCTTTTATGGTTTGTGGGGTAGGGAAGGGCAGAGAAAGATGGCAATAATGTTATTACCATAAGTTCATAACAGCTTGCCTCTTTACCCTTGGCAGTACTAAGGAAGAAATTGTATTTAGCGTAGGGAGATTTGTTGGAATCCCTTTGGAATGCTTACGTTTCATTTCAGAAGAAAAAGCAGCGGATTCCCAAGTTTCTCAATTTTGGAAAATTCAGTTTTGAAAAGTAAACACATGTTAAAACTTGCAAGCACTCAGGTCCACCTGTTAGAAGGAAATAAAGAATTTTAAAACTTTTAAAGTTGCTCCTATGCAGTCATCTATGGAATACTAAATGTCTTTGATGAAGTAGATTTACGTTCTGTTGAGTTGCATGATCTTTCTGATGAATTAGACCTTAATAAACATTTTCTTTCTTTTAGCACTGGCTGGACCATTCAAAACCTATTAAGAAACAAATGAAAAGTAAGTAACCCCAGATGAAAATTTCTTGTTTTGTTCCTTTTCTTTGGAATTAATTTAAAGCATCTTGTCTTATACATTTGAGTTGTTATATTTTTATTAAATCTGAAACCACTTGAAGGCAGAATTAATTTTAAATTAAAAATACAAAGATTTTCAAGCTGGCCAAAAGTTGTTAAAGCCCAAGTGTAGAAAATTTTAAATAGTCTTTAAAAGATCAGAATGTTCTCATTTATAAAGAAGCTTAACTGTAGTTGTGGGTTTCCAACCATACACTCCTGGTAGGGAAAAACAATGATTCATGCAATATTCAGAAAATTTTTTTGATGAATATGCAGTGAAATGTCATCTAGTCACCTGCATTTAGTACTTGCACACATGTCTTACTTATTTTCTGAAGGTTCCTTAGAGCATATTGGATATAAAACAGAATCATAAACACATATAACTCTATAGCATTTGATCCATCTCAGTTTACCAATGAGGTCATTGAACATTACTTCAATAATTTTTCCAAAGATTGATTCTCTGGAAAGTATTTATAAATATGATTCAATTGCATTCATAAGTTTCAAAACATTGTTTTCCTTACCCTCTATCTTCTTGTTTCCAGTGTATTTATAGTTGTTGAACTGTTGAAAGTTGTCCTCAGGATTGCATAGCATTAAAGAAGCAGTATCCACAGGCAGTGAGGTGATAACAGTGGACTGAGTGCTGGTTCTGGAGTCAGAAGACTTGAGTTCAAATTCAGTATCAGATACTTACTAACTGTGTAACCCTGGGTTAATCACTTACCTTCTGTTTGCCTCAGTTTTCTCATCTGTAAAATGGGGATAATAATTGCTGGTACCTCCCAGAGTTATTGTAAGAGTAATGAACAAATATTTGTAAAGTGCTTAGCAATCCTTAAAGCACTGTTGTATAAATGTTAGCTATTATAAACTGTTGCCTAAGCTATTATTATGAAGACCACCATCTTTGGAGTTGAAGGAGCTGGGTTTGAATCCTGGGTCATTTATCCCCATTGTGATATTTAGCAAGGGAGGAGGAAATAAGGGACTATAAGCAAGTCGCTCAAGCTCTTTGCATCAGCTTTCTCTTTTGCAAAATGAAGGGGTTGGGTTAAATGAACTTCATGTGACCTACAGCTCTAGATTCTATGATCCCTTTTCTGTACCTGCCTCAGTTATCCCTTTAAAAACATTTTTAAATTGGTGACTCGGGTTTTCATATCACATTCATTGCTAAATATAACACTCCTACAGAGTAAACATCCCTTAGAACGAAGGTTTGAAAGTTAAAAAAAGAAAGAATTTGGCAAAATTGAGTGTGTCTGACAGTATATATAATATTTTATACACATATGCGCCCCACCACTACAGTGAAGGGAGAAAAATGCATTTGTCCAGTTCTTCTTTGAGGCCAAGTTTGGTCATTGCAATTATGTGATATTCAGGTTGATTTTTTTTTTTTTGGTCTTTTTGTTTACTCATTTTTGTACTCGTTGTATATATTGTTTTCCTGTTTGTGCTTACTTGACTCTGCATCATGCCATATGCCTTCCTTTGTTTCTCTAAATTTTTCATATATATTGTTTCTCATAGCACATTAATAATCCATTATATTCATATGCTACAGTTTGCTTAACCATTTCCCATTTTAATTCTTTGCTGCTACGAAATGTGATAAAATATATAAACACACACCTGTGTGTTTCTATATCTATGTCTTTATATGTTTTATATATATATGTATACATATACACATACATACATATATACATACATATCCACATACAGATACATACATACATATAAATATACATACACATATATAGAGACATTTCTTTGACCTTCTCAGAGAATATGCCTGTCAGTATAATTTCTGGGTCAAAGTCTATAGAAATTTTAGTCACTTATATTTCTTTCCAGAATTATTGGACTAATTTCAAGCTTTACCAACAGTGTATTAATGTCTGCTTTTTAATCTCACAAATATTTTATGAAAAATTAGTATTGGTTGGAAACATTTTAGGATCAGAGATGAAAGTGAGAATTTATCCAATCCTAGAAGACTTTTCTGTAAAACTAGACCAGCTAGCTATGCTGTCTTTAACCCAAAGCAGTGTCCTTTTCCATTATGTTTATCAGGCTTGGGGAGGAAATGAGTGTTGTTGCCTAGGTTTAGTTTTTTTTTTTTGGTAAGCTAATATGTTATGGATTTAATTTATTTGTTTTTTTCCTTTGGTTACTGTGTGCTCTTCAAACTTTGGGAAAACCATCTCCAAATCTGTAGTTGGATCTGCTTATGTTTTGCACTTTCGAATTAAATACTATTCTTCAGAACCGAATAACCTTCGAGAAGAGTTTACAAGGTAGGATGTGATCCTAATATATTTCTAAACAAATTTGTATTACATTAACAGTATATGACATTGTTATTGCCTTTTCCCATTGGTTCTTCAGTGTCCTCTTTTTTTTTTCCTTTGCTTGGATCATTTATTTTACATTTCTGTTGAATCCCAGGATTTCTGTATCTCAGTCTTCTGTGTAATATTAACTCTGACATCTCTGCCCATCTCTGTTCTGTTGGATGTCTGCACTTTGAATTAAACAACTTGGTCTTTGCTGCCTCATCTTTCAGGTGACCAGGATGACTGAGATCTATTTCCTTGTGTCCTTTTCACTTTTCTGAGACTTTATGTAAATAAGTTCATTGTGCTATTATTTTGGATCTTATTTCACAGAACTCAGAATCAGGTGTATTTTCCCCAGCCACAGATTTCTCCATTTATTTCAAGCAAGAGGACTCTTTAGCAGATACTGCCCTAATTTTTTACTATGAGAGAGAGCATACTTTTCCTCTCTTTCAAAAAAGAAAAAAAAAAGTTTAGTCTTCAGTCCCGAAGTGGCAGTTGTTTGCAGAGAGCTCCCGGCATTGTTGCCTTTTACTCCTCCACTAGATTATTTTTCAGGCCCAATCCTACTAGATTCCTACATATTTCCTATACACAGTTCTCTTACACAGTGGAGATAGCATGAAGACAGAAGGCAGTCACAAGAAAAATTATGTTTCACTTATTGTGATTTTCACCCTTTTAGTACAGGCACCACTGCCCTTTTCCTGGCACATAATGTTTTTTAATTTCCTCTTGTTATTTTCTGGCAGAAGGCTGCAGTAGTGGTAACAACATAAATCAGTTATCTAGTGGGGTAGGAAATGAAAGTTACTGAACAGACCACAGTGGCATGGGCCATCTTGGAACTGGAAGAGGTAGGTCAACAGGATGGATCAGGCAGTTTTTATTCACCTGTTGAGGACACACACACACACACACACACACACACACACACACACACACTATAATCTTGAAAGCTTCATTTTTTACATTTGGAAATCAATATAACAATCACCTGTAGCTTCTCATTGATAATTGACCTTATAGTCTCTCTGAACATGAAAAGCAAAGTTCGTTGTTGGTTGAATTCTTGTTTGAAGCAGTAAAAAATACATACATGTTTTCATTTTTACTTTATTTTGGTATAGGGTGTAAGATTTTGGTCTATGCCTAGTTTCTGCCATACTCTTTTCCAGTTTTCCCAGCACTTTTTGTCAGATAGTGAGTTCTTATCCCCAAAGCTGGACTCTTTGAGTTTATCAAACAGTAGATTACTGTAGTCATTGATTACTGTGTCTTACATCAAAACATGACATATTCCCCTTCACTTTCTCCTCTTTTATCCAGAATACTGAAAAAAAAATTGCCTGCATCTCTTCCTTATTTTGAAGTTTTTAAAAGCAAAAGAAATTATCCCAGTGTCTCACCCAGTTACTCAGGAACCCTTTCATTCAAACCTGTTGCATAAAAATATCATTGAAGCCATGAAACATTTAGTTTTGGTGAAACATGTTCATATTGTCTGCTACTTCTCTATTAACACTATGCCCCCATCTTTTATTTCATATATGTCACCATTACTAATCAAAACCAGGGCTTTTCCCCATTTCTTTTGGCGTGTGCTTAAAAAAACATTAATTGCTGGTTACAGGCAGCTTCAGACTTTCCTAGGGGTCTGGCAAATGAAGACTGCAGGTGGTTCAGGATGATGCAGGACAGATGCTCTGTCTTGCTGCTTTATTGGAAGAACTGCATATACATTTGCTATGTTTTTTTTTTGTCCAGTGTACTTGGTTCTCTTCTTGAACTTTCAGGACATTTTGAGTATGCCTGTTGGACTAAACAGTGTTCCATACCACAGCTTACAAATATTTTGTGATTTCTGTAAAATGCACATTTCTTTAGTAGATTCTGGGACTTGCTTCAGGAGGGAAGACCTATAGAGGAAAGTGTCCCACTAATGTTGAAATTTTATTTTAATATCTCTTTATAGTTCAAAATTGTTCAATAAAGATTTAATGTGTGGGGTGGTTTACAGTGGGAAATTTGGGAATGGTAGAGACTTGGAAAGATGACACTATTTGTTGACTTTTGTGTGTATTTGTCAGGTACCTGTTTGTATTACAACTCAGGCATGACATTCTTTCAGGAAAGTAAGTATGTTTTTGTTACAAACTCTGAACCCTGAATAGGTAATAATGTGCATTGTTTTAGTTCTCTTAACCATGTTCCTTTTCAGAGAAAAAAAAGCACCAGCTTTTATTCAGTGATTTATTATTTGTGCCATATCATCATTTATTTTTTTAAATATTGTGTAGCTTGAATCATTTCCAAAAATATTTTCTTTTTTAAAGTGATGTACATTCAGATATCTTACTCTTTTTAATCATATCACTGGCCCATTCATGATGGCTTTTGTTCTGTTTTCCATAATTATTAGTATGTATACAGGTACAGGTATTTACACAAATATTCCATTCATCACAATCTGCATTCAAGTAATATAAAGGGGTGCCTCCTGAGTCAGATGGAAAGAGGATTTTCATGTTGTCATTTTCGTTTTCTCTCTTAAAAATAGATTTCTAGCATTATTTCTTTCAGTCTCTAAGTTTCAACAATAACTTATTATAAATATTTTGGTAATGAAATGTTCAATTTCACATGAAGCACTCTTTTATGTGAAATATGAATCCAAATAATCATAGCTTCTATAATTATTCCATGGTTTCAGTATCTGCAGTTAATTAGTTCCTTCTATTACATGAATGCTAAGAATGTATGTGAATAATTTTGACTAATATTCAAAAACCCAAATACCTGCTAGTGTGGAGAGTGAATACAGTTTCACCCCTGATTTTAGTATCTGCTATGACTTTTTGAAACTTGGGAAAGCTAAATGGAATACACAGTATAAAATAAGTAGACTGTATAATGCATGTATTTGTCTGTTTCAGCCATGTTGCCCAAATCCTTGATCCTTGATATTATGTTCATATGTTTTGTGTGTCTGTATGTGCATTGCCATTAATAATGCCTCCTTAAAGCATTAGAAATGGATTATTGTTGTTTTTTTTGCCATAGTCGGTTCTGTAGGAAGGGAAAGTTTGCCTTCTACATGTTCAAAGCATGCTTAGACTAGAAAAAATATCGATTTATCATTTCCCTTTAGGACAGTCAAAAATATGGTCAACTCTAACTGTATTAGGCCAGTGGTTATATTATAGTGCCCTGAGGCCAATGGACTAAGGGCCGGAAAATTGAGCTTTTTTTTTTTTTTTAAATAGTATCAAAGCCAATTAGTTTCCTTCTATTTCTGAAAGAGGATGGACTTCTGTGCTTTAAACAAGATAGGAAACTGTAACATGTACATATGAAAAGATCAAACATTTAATTTTAATAAGTGAGTATTGAAAAATGGTGATCATTGTGTACATTTAACTCTTTGTTCACATCTTAAGTTAAGAAGAGGTACTAAAAATGCCAAACAATTTAATTATAAAATTGGCTTTATTTGACTTGAGATATTCATCCTACCTCTTTCCACGTTGGACCCCATTTTCTTGGTTTGGCTTTTTTAGTTACCCCAGGATTTAACTAGGTTCCAGAAAGGAAGAGGCCACAGGGTGACATGAGTTATCTCTTTGCAAATGATCCTGTTAACTATAGTTTCTTCTTTGAGACAGAAGCAAAATGTATATTACCAAAAGGGAAGAGTAGAAAATCTGATAAACATAGTAAAAAAAAATTTGAAGTATTCACAACTTCTTCACATGACTAAACATTGCTATCACATCTGAAATAATACTTAGAATGAACACAGTTAACTAAAGAGTAATGGTTATCTTCACTCTACTTTTAGAACAACCGAGTCAGTGTATGGCAAACTTTGCTTTAATAATAAGAAATAACACTATATTAGAGAAGTCACATTTTTAGTGGGAACATAGGTACCCCCAGAGTCAGAAAGACCTAGGTTTCAGTCCAGCCTCTGGTTCATATTGGCTTTATGACCCTAAGCAGGTCATAACCTCTCAGCTATGGGAACTCTTTTAAGATTAAAGATTGTAGAACAGTTGCCAGTCTTTATGTAAAGGGAGTTTCCTTACTGGGAGTTCCCTATAACAAGTAAATCACTGGGGGGGACCCCAACATTGCATTCCACAATCTTCTATCCTCTTGACTAATTTTATCTAATTCTGTTTACAAAGTGGATAGATATTGCCTATAGATTATAGTATTTCACCAGGTCCCAAGTACTGTGAAACACTGCTTTTCATATTCTGAAATAAACACTCTGAAATAGTTTGGTGTATTTGTTTGTTTGTTTGTTTTAAAATATGACTACAGAATATAATAAAAACAGGTTAAAAATAGTGATCTAGATTTTCTTAGACACTTAAAAAATCTGTTTCAGTGTAATTGTATTCTTTGTATGTACATTTAAGAAAGATGCATGTTCTGAGCTAATTTCTTTTCTTTGAAGATTGAAATGCCCATATGAGACTGCTGTGGAGCTAGCTGCCCTGTGTCTTCAAGGTAGGAAACCATTTGGAAGTTATTTGCATTCTGAAATTGTGTGTAATAATATTGCAGTGATGAATCTGCTGGCATTAATGTTAACCATTATATGTTTGTACCATAGTTTATGGTGATAAATGTTGGCACCTGTAGTCATTAAAATCCTCTAACTTCAAATGAAATTGTCCTGATACACTAATGGGTTAAGGGATATGCCTATAGTAGCTATTCATTTTCAAGCTTTTTTGTCAGGTTAATGAGAAGCAGCAGCAAAGTGCATAGAGTGTGAGGCTTGGACCCAGGGTTCCAATCTTGATTTTGACACTTACTAGTTGCGTGGCCTTGAGTAAGTCACTTAACCTTCACCTGCCTCAAGCAACATCCTAGGACCTCTCTATCATGTCATAGAGGAGGATGTGATTTTTCTTCAGTGATGGAGGAATTTCCCTCCTGAGGAGTTCCCCATGCTAATGACATCACAGATCCTTCATATATTTGCATATTAATCATCTGCTGTTTTATTATTGTAAAAAGCTGATTCTAAATTTAACACTGAATCCTTTTTTAATTATGAGGAAAATATTTTGCTGTGTTTTAACTGTACTGGAGTAATTACTTTTTAGTGTATAATTTTCTCATATCAGAGAGTCAAATCTTTTATTTTGCCTTAATTAAAGGCTCATGTAAATTGTGTTATAGACATCAAAGTATAGTTATGTTCAGTTTAAAAAACAGGACCAACAATTGGGGCACATTTATGGTTACCTTCATTATGAAGGTAAAAATAGAATTTGTCTTACTAATAAGTATGAAAAAAGGAGTGTATTTCATCTGTCTGTAATATTCAAAAAGAGTATTCTTTGTACCAAAGTGTAATGTTTTCTAGTGGAAAGTTAGTAATGCTAGACCATTTTGCTCCCTTTGACATATGACAGCAAGTAGAAACAGATGTTGTTGCTCTTATTTCTGTAAATTCTGTAATTTCAAAGTACAGGATTTCAATTTGTTGAGCGTTTGTGTTACTGCTACAGGGCATGTTAATGTGGATGCACTGTGGGTGATGGTATAAATTTTCCTTAAAACAATATTATTCAAAGTGTGAAAAAAAATCAAAATTTCTATTTTAAAATAAAGGTAGACCAATTAATTCATTTAGGGGTAAGGGCTAGATAGAAAACTCATAGAGAAAAATGAGACATTGAATGATTAGGTTACTTCTGTTGTAAGACATTGCAAAGTAAAGAATTTGATGTAGGACTCCTAGGGAAAGACAGCAGACATACAAGTTATTTAAGGATAGGAAGAAAACATTGAGTAAACTTGCTACTATTTTACATTTTAAAAAATGGAAAAGTTGACAATTCTTAAGGATGAAATAAATTATTTCCTAACACAAATAGCTACTTTCCCTTAATTTCCTAATCTCTCCTTTCTTTACTAATTGTTATCCTACAACTCTTTGCAAACAAAGTCAGACAAGAAATGTCATTTAAATGCAGCTAGTCAAGTAGTATTTATTTTGCAGAGTTGGCCTCAGCTTAGGTTAGTACTCATATAGTTGAGGCTTTCCTCAGAGGTTTGATTTTTGTTTTTTAAATCAATAACAACTATAAAAGTCTAGATTACTACCGAATTACCTCTGGCTTCACAGACATCATGGAGAAAAGATCCTAGGCCATCCCAGTTTGGTTTGGGAGACTGGTGGGATGGCCTTTGAGATTCTGGAAGCAAATTGGATGATTAAAAAGCAATCTGACCCAATGCAAAGGGTCCTTGGAAGTCTCTAGAACTTCCTCCAATGTGCCAAGGAGGAAAAAAAGATACTATGCAAACCAAAAATACTTTCCCAAGAGACTCGTTAGCCTCCAGAAAATCAGAAGACATTTCATAAAGATTTTTCAGGCCTAGTTTAGACTTCTTGTGAGTTGTTGCCCACCCAAGAGCATTACTTAGAATAAGAATAGCCCCTTGAAATAAGAGAGTTAAAGTTGCTCTGTTATGTTCACTCTTTTTTAATCTATGTCAAGCCTAGAATCATGAAATTCTTTCCCATCCTGTCCACAGCATTCACAGTCTCATGAGGTAAGCAAATAGCAGTGACTTAGCCTTCCTTATGAAACAGAGACTGGTTTTTCTTCCTGTTATCTTGACATTTTAGAAGTAGGCTAAGATCGCAGTAAGGACCAGTTCTAGAAAAAAATGCTACTGTAGAAGACCTTCTTGTATCTACTTCAGATACAAGCCTATTACCAAGGGCTTGTATAGATACCCGTTGCACCACTGTCCAGATTTGAAGAGATAAAACACATGAAACAGAATTGTACAGGATATTTAATCTATGCTAGATTAAGTAATTATAGGCTTCAAACATTATAGGAATTTAAAACCTCATAGAATCACAGTGTTGGGTACCACCCAGGATATGCTAGTGATTCAGAGAATCCCAGGGGAGGAGAGAGGGTGGTCTCCTCCTAGTATAAATGAAGCAAGGTCCAAGGTGGGAGGAGAAGGAATCAAAAGTAGAAAGCTGGCCAGGTTGCTCTTAAGTTGTAGGGTGCCAAATTCCTAAGGTCTGAAAGACAGTTCTGAAGTCCAAAGCAAGATATTCAGCATCAAGGGGTCCTTGTTCAGTCAGGAAACCCGGCAACGTGACCATTTCTGTGATTCAGTCTGATCCCCAAAGCTTTGGTCTTTTTACATTGGCTACTTGCTTTTTCAGCTTTTATGAATGTTCTGTTGTAGTCCTTTACAGAATCCACTAAGCTGCCTTCTAACTTAATCACACTTCAGGCCTGGAGCTCGTATACCAAGAGTTGTAAGAAATCTCAAAAGTCCAACCACATCCAAAGTATGAAAGCATGAAATAATTAATAAATTCGTACCACATTCCAGGCTGGGATACAAATACTGAGGCGGTCCCAGCCTTATCAAGGGGAAAATGGGGAGATGATCATGGGATACAGGTGGCAGGAAGGGCTATGGGTCCAATGCTGGTGCTGCGGTCTAAGTTAAAGCTAGGTTTTAGTTCCATCTGTCCAGAGTGCAGTGTTCAGCAAACTCCAATGATTACTTGAGTAATCAGAGAAGACTTCGTGAACCAACTGGGACTTGAAGAAGGCTTTGAGAAACTTGTAGGATTTAAATAGAGGGGGGAAGGTGGGGCTGGGGTGGGGCCTTTCTGGATCTAAGAACTTCCCCAGAAAGCTCATCCCTACTGTCCCTAGGTAGTAAGTAGCTGATGGTAGCAGTGGGGCTCTCTACTCCTCCCTGGTGGCAAGCATATGATCTGCAAGCCCTTGCTGGCTTACACAAAGCAGGAAGCTTAAGTCAGAGCGGAGAACCAGCAACCCCTATCTTCCATCCCAAAACAAGCGTGGTTTTGTATTACTTATGTAGGTGTTCTCTCCTTCATTCCTGCTCCTGTTGACCTGATCTTTGATTTTAGACTCTGCCAATCCACTTAGATCCTCTGGCATAGAAATGGGACTTGAAATGAGGAGACCTGGGAATGGATCCTGCTTCAGGTCATTAATAGCTCAGATAATTGATAGTTGTGTGATTGTAAAGAAGTCTCTTCAACTTTCAGATCCTCTTTTTCCTGTTCTGCAAAACTGGAATAATAAGACATAATGATAGCTAGCATTTATACAGTGCTTTAAGGTTTTGCAAAGCATATTACATATATTACTTTATTGATCTAACAACTCTGTGAGGTAGGTGCTATTATTACCCTCATTTTACAGATAAGAAACTGAGATCGGTAGTTAAGAGACTGAGACCACATTTCAACTCAGGGTTTCCTAACTCAAAATCCAGTATTCTAGCTGCCTTTACCCATCTCACAGGGTTGTTGCAAGAAAAGTGCTTTACAAACTTGCAAGTACTGTATTAGAGAGATAATATGATATACTGACTGGAGAACTGGGCTCAGTCAGGACCACCTCGATTTAATTGCTGCTTCTGATAGATACTGGCTATGTTACCTTGGACAAGTCATTTAAACACTCAATGCCCCAAACAACTCTCTAAGACTGTAAGTTGCAAAACATTTCTTGATCTTCCCTCTGTTAATTATTTCCTATTTATCCTGATGGTCAGCAAATATTTATTGTGTTCAAACTGTGTACCTGGCTGTGTGAAAAAAACAGTGTTAGGATTTTTGATATGGCAGTGTTGTAAAGATGTTTTGGTTGGTAGGACAAAGGACACTGACAAAGTGGCTCTTACAGTAGTCCAACCATGAAGGGTGGGGGGGCCTAGACTAGGATGGTGACAGTGAGAGTAGAAAAAGGATGGATCAAAGGAAGCTTTTGAATGAAATGTCTGTGGGCTTGATGGCTGATTGGATGTTGAGAAGGACCAAAGGGAATCTCTGTTTGACTTCTAAGCACTTAATCATTTCTAATTTGTATTATAGTTAGTTGTATATTGTGAAGTCCTTGAGGGCAAGAGTGAAGAGACTGGACCTTTGGTTTCATTGGTATAAGGAGCCCCCATATAAGGAGGTCATATCTAATGATATGAGTTGGTACCTTCTCTATAATTTATGGTCTTAGTGAGAGAAATGATTGTTTCTCTCTTATATTAATAAGCAGTTATTAAATTAGTATCATGATTTTCCCTTTCTGTTTCTTCATTTAAAGCCCAGTCTCTCAAGGACGTTTCTGATCTTTCCTCAAAATTTAACTGTACCCAGACCATCTTATCTAGGTGAAATTCTTACCCCACCATCCTTCATTGTTCATTGACTGGGTAGAGGATAGATCCTTTGGTATAGATTACCCAAGGCAGGATTGGTCTACATTGAGATGACTCTCTTTTTGTCCATGAGTGACATAATCAAAGTCATGTCCCTAGCCCCTCATTAGAATAGGCCCACCTCTCATTATAATATTCATTTTCTTATTAATTATTAACCAATTGGAGTTGATTTCTGCCTGCCAAGAACACGCACACTCTTCCAAGGGCATTATAAACATTGAGTGGCCTACATGAATAGTCTTTGGTTTATGAGAGAA